TCATATTATCTAAAAGTTAAAAGGAAATTGATTAATTTATAAATCATAATAAAAAATTTAGATAATAATTAAAATTTTAATACATTCAAATGATAAGATTACATTTTTAATAACTTTATCTAAATTAAAATTTAAATAAAAAATATTTTATTAAAAAAATAATAAAGAAATAATAAAATTTCTAATTCAGGCTATTATTTACTTGATAAAGCAATTTCAGGTTTACCATAGTTAATAAATTTTTCTTGCTGGTTAAAGTAAAATTTAATTATATGCTTGTTCTATAAATTTTTTATTTAACAATTTTAGTACTTGCGAGAGTTTACTAAAATCAATAGAAATACTCAACTGCAAAAATATGAAGGTTTTGACTATTCATCTTTAGTAATAAATTGGATTTGTTTATATTTTTTTTTAATAAGTAAAAATATTTTTATAAATTAAAAATGTTAAAAGTTAGTATGTTTATTTTTTTATAATATTTTTATAAATTGAATAAGATGATTGATTATTATTTTTTATTTTAATAAATAACTTTTTACACATAAATATCATTTTAAAAAATAGTTCTTGTTGGTCAAAAAAAGAAAAGATTTAACATAAAATTAAAGCACTTTAAATCAAAAGGCTAGTCAAATTAAAAATTTGTGGCTTTTGAATAAATTAAAGCTTAAAATATATTTCATCCGAATATAAAAACAAATTCAAAATTAGATATACGTAAAGATTATGTATGATTTTTGGTTTTTAAATACTGTAAGTTTTTTTATTTAATACTAGAAACAAATATTTTGTTTTTTAATGATTTCTGTTATTAATTTATTTTTACTGAGTAAAAAACTAAAATTTTACAAGGGATGGGGTTTAATATTTTGCAAGTTGCTGTATTTTTATTAGAATTTATTTTATCTATTTTTTAAGGCTAGACTAGCTTTTTTAATCAATTAATTAATTAACTCTAACAAAAAAATATAAGTTAGAAATTAGCAGGAGTAAAATTCAACAAAACATAAAAATATTTTTTGCACAGTTATTAAAATATTTGCCTATTATAATATTTCAGATAAATTAAGAGGAATTTTTTGTTTGTTTGAATAGATTCATCATTTAAAGCATACTGAGTATTCATTTCCATCATAATTGCTTTAAAAATTTATTAAATAAAACTTCAAAAAGATGTAAATTTAAGAATTTTACTCAAAAAAATAATTTAATTTTATGATATGTCGACTTCTTTCTAAAGAGTTTTTTAGATTATTATTTCCTTCCCAATTTATTTGATTCTTTCTAAAATTTAAATGAATCAAAAATTTAATGATTTATTTAAAGAACTTAAAAATATTTAAATATAGATATGAGTTATTTCTTTTATATTTATTTAATAAAATAAAATTAATAAAAAATACTCTAAATCAAGATATAATTCAGTAATATTTTTGCATTTTTCCAGAGTATTTAAAATGCTTTGAGCTCCTTAGTTTCTTATACAATTCTTACTAAATAAAAGATATATTTAATTTCATACCAGTAAATGTGTAAGTGAAATTTTAAATTAAGTTAACAAAATAATATTTCGTTTTTTTATTATTTTCTCTTTTAAATTTCAAAAAATTTACCTCAAAATAAGAGTTAAATTAGTAATATTTTAACATTTTTCAATAGCACTTGCGATTTCTTAAGCTCCTTTATCTCTGATTGAATTCTTCCTTTATTATTATTTTAATTTTACAAAAATTAATAAAATCAAATAAAAGAGCAAAAATATTTTAAATAGTAAAAGCTAAATAATTAATTAAATAAAATGATTACTTAAAATCAAGTTTTAGTTAAGTAATGTTTTAACATTTCACAAAATCTCTTGAGATATAATAAGCATCTTCATCATTAATTTTATGACGTCTAATAAAATAATATTTAAAGTATTTTTAATTTAAAATGGTAAATCTACAAAAAAAAAGCAACAGAAAACTTATTTTTAAGGTTTTAATTTAAGGCATCAAATTATTAATTTTTAATATTTTTTCTTATACCCTCCTTAATTTAGAAAATTTATGAGATTGTTAAGTTAGTTAGTTAGTTGGTATGATTTTTATGTATCTAATAAATCAAAAAGTTAAATTAAATTAAAAAAGAAAATACAAAAAAGATAGTTCCAGTCTAGTAAGATTTTATAATTTTTCTATTTAACCAGAGAGATTCTGAAAATTTATAGGAAGATTTTTGATATCTTATTTCACATCCGAAGCACTTTTAAAAAAATTGTATAAAAAGTAAAGTAGAATTAACAAATTTAACAACAAGTTAAAATATTTAAAATAAATTATTCAAAAGGTTTGAGTAAAGAATTACTTGAATCGAAGAGATAGTTGAGTAAGGTTTTAACATTGTTTCAACATTTTGCAAATATTTTCTGCGAGAAAATTGAAATGTGTACTATTTATAAGATAATTAAACTTTTAATAAATAATAAAAATAACTTTTCAACAGAGTTGGTTGAAAGTTTCGATATCAATAAAATGAATGGAAATTGAACATCGTTTGTCAAATATCAAATAGTTTCTATTTTTCTATTCATTTTTTTAATATCTAAGCTTTCGATTCCCAACACTACTTTTCAATCATAAATAATCAATCAATCAAGTAATTAATTAATTTTATTTATTTTTTGAAAAAATAAAAATGAAAACTAAAAAAGTTAATAAAATTAAAGATTTAATTCACTAATATTTTCACTATTTTTCAAAGAACCTACAAAAATATTAGAAATTTCACTCATATATTCGAGTTTACTTATAAATTTTAATTTTATTATAACTTTAAAAATATTTTATTTATATTTTAACTTAGAAAAATCAAACAATAAATTCAAAAGTATTACAAAAGATCGAGATTTAAAAGTGTGAGATTTTAGCATTTAGTCAAAGAATTAACAATACTCTGAGCTCCTTCTGCAGAAATTCTATTTTTGCTAAAAAATAAGATTTCAAACTAATTACAAAAACTTTTATATTAAACAAACCAATTTAAAAAACTACCTTAAATTGAGAATTACTTCAGTGAGACTTTGACAATTTTACAAGAAATTTGCTATTATTTAAATATGGCCATCTTCAAGATTATTACCTTCCAAGTTAAGATTGAATTTCTATAGATTTTTACACCTTTTTAGAAAATATGTAATATTCTAAGTTTACTCAGGACTGATTCCATTACCACTAAATAAAATTTTATTTAAACTTAGAAAAGAAATAAATTAATTAAAATAATTAAGAAATAAATTATTTTTTGCAGGATAAATAAATTTTACCTTAAATCAAGACTAAATTAAGTAATATTACGGGATTGTTCATCATTATTTTCAATATTTAAAGATGTATTCAGATAAATTTTTTTAAAACCAACAAGTTTATTTTAATAAGATTTGATTCTTATAGATTTTTAAAAATAAATTTCAATGCAAAGATTCATAAAAATTTATTTATTTTTACTTAAAAAAATTATAAATAAAATTACTGAAATTTAAGACTTAAGTGAGTAATTTTTTAACATTTAAAAAAAATGTTTATGATACTGTTGAATCCTTCACGATTGATTTTATTATCTCTAAAAATGGAATAAAGTTATAAGCAAGTATTTAAATTTTGAGATAAAAAAATTTTATTAATTTAATTTTAATTATTTAAATATATTTTATTTCAAATATGTCAAATAAATTTTAAGAAATGAATTACGAAAAATCAATATTTAAACTAGTGATTTCATTACATCTTTTCAAAACATTTGAAATATTCTTAGCACCATCATTTGAAATATCATTTTCTCTAACAAAATTAATTTTTATTTTAAAAGTTTTCAAAGTCATTCAAAAATTTATATAAAAAATTTTTTAAAAAAATAATTTTTATAAAAAAAATCTATTTAATTTTAAATAAAACTACTATAAAACAAGTTTTAGATCAGCCATGTTTTCACATTTTTCCAAACCACTAGCTAAAATATTTACTCCTTCATCTTTAATTTCATTGTAACTAATTAAATTTAAAAAAAGTAAATATGAAAAAATTTACAAATAAAAATAAGAAATAGTTTTAATGAAAATAAACATAAATTTGAATGAAAATTACCCTAAATCTATGCTTAGCTAGTTAATATTACTGCAATAATTCAAAACACCTGCGATATAACTAGTACCATCTATACCAATTTAATTACTACTATTTATTATAAAAATAATAAATATTTATGATTAAAAAAGTATAATGTTTGAAAAAAAATAGAGGAAATAAATATTTATTCATCAAATTATTAGGATTAATTATAAAATATTTCATGTCATAAGATTCTTACCTTAAATTAAGATGCAACTAAGTAAGCTTTTTCAACATTTTCAATGAATTAGCAATATTTTTAATGCTCTCTACACCAATTTTATTATAACTAAAAATTTTAAATTAATACATAATTTTTACACTAGCTATATTTTATTTAAATTTTTGAATATAAAAAATTATTGACTAAAAATAAATAAAGAAAAATATATAAACAATCAAATTATATTTTTAAGGAATTATGAAAAAATTAAAATTATAGATAATAACCTTAAGGAAAGATTAAATGTGGTAATATTTTGACAATTTTATAAAGCATAGGCTATGCATTAAACACCTTTTTCTTTTATATCATTATAACTATTAATTAAATATTTAAATTAATATTTTCTCAATAATATAAAAAAAGAAAAGAAGTTAAAAATAAATTATTTATTGAGTAAAATATTAAATTACTTTAAATTAATATCTAATTAAATGGCCTTCCTAAAGTGTTTAATAGCGTTTGAAATATACTCAGCTCCTTAAATACCAATTTAATTTTATCTATGCAAAAATAATTAATTTAAATTATGTAAATCTATAATAATAAAATAGTTTTATTATTTAAAAAAAACCAATAAGATATAAGCTTAAATTAAAAGAATACGATAAATTGAGACTTAATTTAGTTATTTCTTCAAACTTTTCCAAAATTTTTGTAATAATTTTAGTTTTTTCATCATTTATAGAGCTTTTACTAATAGATTTATTTTTAAATATTTGTAAATTTTTTTAAATTATTAAAAATCTAAAAAAATTTTTAAAAATAATTTAATGATTTCAACCTTAAGCAAAGATTTAATTTAGTGGCATTTTAGCACTTTGCTAAAGCATTAGCAATCTTTTAAGCTCCAATCTTAAAAATATTTTTTCCTCTATTATATTTAATTATTTATTATATTAGTTCAAAAAATAATGAAAAAATAAGGGATAAATTTAAAGAAAATTACGATTAGCATAGATCAATTTTGAATGTGTTTACAGGTTTATCTAAAGGACTCATAAAAGTTTCAAAATCAAAAATTTTGCATTAACTAATTGAAAAATCAAAATTGTTAATTTTAATTATTATTATATTTTTAAAATGTGAAATAGTAAAAAATGAGAAAAATATTGAATATTATTGATAATTATTAATTTTACTTGGAGTTATTTTTTAATTTGATATTATTTTTGAACTTAAACAGCATATTTTTAATAACTTTGGCTTCCTCTGAACACATCGTATTGAGACTTTTTTAATAGTTTAAATAAATAAAATAATTTAAATAAAGACAAAAGGAAATTAAATCTATAAATTTATTAAAATTAATGAAGAATTGATTATGCAATAAATTACTCTAAATACAGATCTAATTATTCCATTCCATTACTCTGCTTTTATTCACTTTCTTTATTGCTCTCTTTATTTTCACTAAAAAAATGTTGAATAAAAAATATAAATCAAAAGATTAACTAATAAACTAGTTAATTAATTTACATCAAGCTAAGGCCATGATTTTAAACATATTTATTGATTTATTCACAATTTTTAAAACATTAATCTTCATTAAATAATTAACTACCTTAAACACTTATTTTTATTTATTTTATAAAAAATATAAGGTTAACTAATTAAAGTTTTATATAAATAACATTTCGAGAATAAAAATATAAGGGAGTACCTTAATATTTGAATTTTTACAGTAATTAAATAATAATTATTTAATTTTAAAAAAATTATATTTTTATATTACAATAGATTTAGGTCGAATTAACTTTATTATTTTGTTGATAAGTATTTAGCAATATTTTGAGCAATAATATTTTAAACATTTTGCCAACTATTCATATTTAAAAATATTTGATTATTTATTTAATAGAATTAAAATTAATATCTATAAAGATCAACAAAATAACTGTGAATTAAGAACTTAAAAATTATATTACTTAATGTATACTTCTGATAGAGTAATCTATTTTAATTGATTTTGACTTCTAAAATTGTTTACACTAAAATTTTTATAAAAAATTTCGTTTAAAGAGGAGCAAATTTATTAAATGTAAAAAAAATAGCTAGCTTATTTCATTTTAATAAATATATATATTAAAGAAAAAGATTGATTCATCTACTGTCTAACTAACATGAAAATAAAATAAAAAAATATATTTTTACCTTGAAATTCTATTTAATTAAGTAGTCTTTTCGCTTTAATCAAGATACTCTTCAGTTTTCTCAGATATTTAATAGCATAACTTTGTTTCTCTAAAGTTTTTGGTTTTCAAAAGAAAAAGAAAATAAGAATTATCAAACAAATAAAAGTGATATATGAGAAAAGGAAGCAATCAATAAATCTATTATTTTACAAAAGTAAGATAAAAGAAAATTGTTACGCTTTATCAATTTTTTAAGTTAGCTAAAATTAGTGTTAAAATGAATATTCTCCTATGTATTCTTCTGGACTGTCCATTTCACATTGAATATCATAAATAATATCTTGAATATTCAATCCTTTAGTATTTATATTATCGCTATGATTATTAAGGTTTATTTATTAATTTATATCCATAAATTAATTTTAATATCAATAATTTACTTAAGGCATATTTAATCACATTTAAATTTAAATGAAATCTCTTAACCATCATATGTTTGTTTAAGAATATCATAAATATATTTAGATATTTCTTTATCTTTAAACCTAGCATTTTAAATATTTTTTTAATTAATATAAAAGAATTATTTTTAACATTTAAAGTAAATAGAAAAATTAAAAATTGAAACTACTTTAATTTGAATTCTAATGAAGTAAGTTCTTTATAACTTTTAGCAATCATACAAATGTTTATAAAACTCTAATAAAGACTTTTATCTAACCTATATATTATATAAATGTTAATTCATTTAATTTAAAATTTAAGTATTTATTAAAATCATCTTAAATTTATTGTGATTGATTATGGCTTAATTTAACAATATCGTGGTTTTTTATTAAAATAGCTTTGGCTATAATATAAGTACAAAAATTTTTATCATTTTATTTAAAATAATTTTAAATAGTTAAGTTGTTAATTTAAAAGACTAATTTATATTCATTTATTAATTAGTTATTTTGTTTTGAAATAGTGAATGAAATTTACCATTCAAAGTTAAAATTTAATTCAGTAATTCTTGGGCACATGATCTAACAATCTTCAAATATGTTTTTTAAATTATAATCTATGTCGTCTTCAGGTAAGTAACTATTAAAATTATTAAAATAAAATAAACATAATTTTTAAAATAAGCAAAAAAATTATTTATTTTTAAATTATAAAATATCAAAATAGATTTTTTAATTAATTACTAAAAAATATATATCATAAAAAGTTAAAAAGTGGTATGAAAAAAATTAAGCATCTTGCTATTATTTTGGCATTTAATATGAACAAAATTAAAAAAATCTATTATATATTTGCAAAAAAAAGAAAGAAAAGTTAAAATATAATTTAGAATAAAAAAGAGTGAACTATCTAATATAAAAAAACTAATTACCTAAAATCAAGTGTTAATTGAGTGATATTATTTAGAATTTTAGCTTACATAAGCAATTCAAAATAAAACATCCATTTATCGCGGAAAGTATAATCTTCATGAAACATATCTTTTCTAAAACTATAAAGACTAATAATATTTAAATTAATTTAATCTTTAAACAGAATTGCTTACTCAAGTTTTAATTTGAGAGTTTGTACTTTTCTCAAATTTGATATAAGAAAAGTAAAACCTGGTTTATTTAATAAGCTATTATAATCACTAATTCCACTATAATATTTTATTTAATTAAAAATATAAATATGTCTTTGAGCAATCAATAAATAATAAAACATAAATTTATTTAATTTTACTATATTCTTAAACTTAAAGATCCTTCCTTCTCAATATAAAACTGATATTCACATTCATTATTGTTTAATATTTCAACATTTAAATTCCTAATTTCTTGAAAAATCTTCTCTTTTTCATGCAAGCTTTATTGTAGTTAAAAATAACTAAAATTAAATATTGATAAAAAAAGAAAATTAATTAAATAAAATAAATATATTTAAATTTCTTTTTAAGTAAAACGATTTTAATTTAAATAATTACTTTTTTAGATTATAATGTATTATATTGTCAAAATTGAGCTAAGAATTAAATGATTCAACCTCTTCATTGAATTTTTCCATAGAACCTATATAATTTAGACTTATTTCTTCGCTTTCAAAGTATGCTATGAAATTAAGTAAGCTGATTGTTACTTTTTGATTTTAAGATATCTCATTATTTGTATCATTTTAATTTTCTTTGTAACCCATAATAATTGTTTATTAAATAAGACTTATAGATTAAATTATTTGTTTTTCTTTTTATCTAATTTCTTCCTCATTAAAACACTAATAACTTTTGATATTATTTCTTTTTAGATACTTTTCATAGTAATTAAGTTTATTGTATAAAGCATATTCTTTATATGGCAATTAGTTATCTTTTTTTATTTTAACCATTATATTTTAATATTTTTTTTCTAAATGATCTAAAATATCCTTGCATCCATCAAAGCTATAAATATTTAATTCTTATAGCTTTATAAATATTGAATATAATTTCCAAATACTTTTATCAAATTAAATTTATAAATTTGATTTCAACTTAATGTTATTCAAGCAATTCAAAATAATTAATGGTAAGAGTAAAATTTCCTTTTCATATTTAACAAAAAATTTAATGTCCAGCTATTCATTTTATTAAAAAAGAAATTTGTAAAGATATAAGCCCATTTCTTTTAGTAATTTTTATTTGTAATAAGAATCACTATCCGTTTTATCATCTTCAATACATTAAATTAATTCGTAAAGAGATTAGTCATAACAATTTTATTTTCTTAAATACCTAATCAATTTGATAATTATCCTATAAACCATATCAAAATCATAGTTTTCAACTTATTATTTTAGAGAATCATAAAAATCTCTAAAGATTAGATATATATCATTTGATTTTAGCAAGAGAAGCTCTATTGTCTTTATTTTTAATTTATCAAATTCTTCACCTATATTAACTAATTTAATTAATTAAATCAGTTTATTTTAATTTTCTAAAGATAATTTTGTCTTATTATTTAGCTTTATTAAGATCTTAGTTACGATTGTAATTGATTTTATTAGAATTTCTGACTAACTATCATCTTCAAAATCTTTTCTAAAAATTTCATTAATACATTAGAGAGATTCTTCATATTGTTTTCTCTTACATAAAATATAACTTTTAGTTATCAGTGCCTTTAATTTAATTGAATTTAACTGACTCTGCTAACTGTTATCTTGACTTTTTTATGAAATAATCAAAAGAGCTATTTCAGCATATTAATATTATGATTCATACTGAAATACTTTATTTTCTTTCTTGATGACTAAGTATTTCTCTATCTATTTTAAATATTCCTCTAAGAATGCCTCAATAACTTCATCATTAGTGAATTCCATTAAAATATTTATAAATTTTATTGGCAACTCAAAGCAATCTACATTAATAGAATTATCATCATCTTTATAAATTTCTTTTATAAATTTTTCTAAACGATCAAATATTTCTGAGCGATTTTTTAACAATGTAAATAACCACTGAATAGTTTTACCAAAAGAATAGATATCATGATAAAAAGGTAAATTCTTCTCTCTATCTTATGGTGTAAAACCACGTGTAAACATTATATAAGGACAAAAAGGATCATTAAAATTAACTTATTATGAAGCACCAAAATCAGATAATTTGTAATTATTATCATCAATTTTTAAGATATTTCCTGGTTTAATATCTGAATGATAGATATACTTTTATCTAAGTACAATCAATAAATGAAAAGCAGTAGAAATAAATCTTAAAATTTCTCTAAGACTAAATTCTTTTTTTGATAATATTTCATCTGTTAGACTCATTTAACATTTGCACATAACTTAAATGATATACATAGTATTTTTAACTTTATTGCTTATTAAATGAGAACTATTTACATTTAAAATATTTTATTCTTATAATTCCTTAAATCTTTATAATTCATTAAGTTATCTATTTAGATCTTCCTCTTCATTTAATTAAATTAATCTATATGCTATTTTATCATCATATTTATTTGTAAATATATCTGCCTCCCCTCCACTGTTGATATGATCACCTAATTTAAATATTTAACTTAAAAATTGCTCAGAATCAGCATCAATATTTTTTTCTTGTTTATTTGGCAAGTTCACATTTTTTTATTTGCTACTAAGAATTTCTTTGATGGATTCATATCTCTCAACACCTCTTTATTCAAATTAGCAAGACAATTATTAATCAGAAATGCAAATAACTTATAAATTTAATAACTGAGAAGTTATTTATGACTCTTATGAGATAATTGTAGTGCTTTAAGGCTATTCTCTCTTTTATTCAATAAAATTTTTTTTCAAACTTTAATCATATTTTTGGATTATTTCTATATACTTGGGCAGATTTAAAAAAAATTATTTTAATTCCTTATTTAATTTATCTGAATTAGAATA